CCCCCGTGTGTCATATCGACCCACTTGGACACAGCCAGAAGGCAAAGAGGCAAAGAAAAGAGGAAGGGAACAGCCAAATAATACAGAACAGGGGGCAACAAAACAAATCCCAGATGACACGTCCCACATGCAAGCACCGCCCCGCAACTCACAGGCCAAACGACGGGACGAGACGAACCAGGATATCAAAAGATTCTTATCTACAAAGAAAATAAAGAAAGGCTCCTGCGCCCTTGATCACAGTGTGACAACTTAAAAAAAGACAATCCCAGATATGTTTGTGACGAGATATATATATATTGTCACAAAATTATCAGAGCGCAAAAGCGAAAAAGAAAAAGGAAACAAAAAAGATATATATTGTCACAAAATTATCAGAGCGCAAAAGCGAAAAAGAAAAAGGAAACAAAAAAGATATCAATTCATTTTTTATCTTCTTACTTATATAGTGATCGCACGGTCAGTGTGTGACATGCATTAGTCGAAAGAGTAAGGAGATGTGTGGTCCCCTCCCCCTCCTCCTCTCCTTAACACTGGGGGCATGCCGCTGCAAAGGAAGCTGCCCGCCAGAATCATTTCAATCCGTTGGGGGGTATGAGGCCAAATCCCAAAAGAGGGTGGGATCGGCCAAAGGCCCTCTGGATAGAAGATTTTCAATTGTGCAAGTGGGTCGATATGACACACGGGGGTGGGGGCAGCCGCCGCTCAACCTACATCCACGTGGGCGGCCGGCCTTGTACGCAAGAGGTTTTGAACAGGGGGAGTCTTGTAAGGAAGAAGATAAAAAGTGAATTTATTTCTTCTTTTTTTTCGCATTTGCGCTCTGATAAATTTGTGACGATGTATATATATATACAGCCCCTCGTTTGTTGTCCTCTTCTCTCTCTCTGCCTACGGTGTACCGGGCAGTTCTGTTTGTGACGATATATATATCGTCACAAACAGAACTGCCCGGTANCGAAAGCTGGTGCCAAAAAGAAAACTGGTCCCAAAAAACGAAAGCTGGTGCCAAAAAGAAAACTGGTCCCAAAAAACGAAAGCTGGTGCCAAAAACAAAACTGGTCCCAAAAAACGGAGGCTGGTGCCAAAAAGAAAACTGGTCCTTTATGGGGCCATGTAGGGTTCGGTGGGTCAGCGCCGCGAGCGGTGTAGTGGTGGTGGTTTTTGAACTTGGTGGTGGTGGTGGAATTTTTTTTTTTTTTTTTTTTTTTCGGTTGTTGTTGTAATGAAGAGAACAAAGCGATGATGGGGAGAAAAAGGGAAGGAAAATAGAAGAAAGAGAGCCATGGAGGAAGTGATAATGGGGCCCTTGCTGTATCCATATCTATATCCTTCTGTGGAATAATGGCGGGAGAGGGAGTGGAAAAATGGCGGGAGAGGGAGTGGAAAAATGACGAGAGAGGGAGTGGAAAAATGGCGGGAGAGGGAGTGGAAAAATGGCGGGAGAGGGAGTGGGAAAATGGCGGGAGAGGGAGTGGAAAAAGAAGACAAGAAAGAGAGCCGTGGAGGAAGTGACAATGGGCTCCTGTTTATATCTATATCTATATCCATATCTATATCCATATCTATATCCATATCCATACCCATATCTATATTCATAATAAAATGGCGGGAGAGGGACTGGAAAAAGAAGACAAGAAAGAGAGCCATGGAGGAAGTGACAATGGGCTCCTGTTTATATCCATATCTATATCCATATCCACACCCATATCTATATTCATAATTTCATATCCATATCTATATCCATCACTATATCTATATCTATATCTATGTCTATATATCTTTATCTATCTATATCTATATCTATAGATGTTATCTATATTTATATCTATATCCTTCTGGATTTTTTTTAATTTTTTTTTTTAAGCCCAGGTTGTTGTAGAGGTGAGATCGTTGTGTTGAAAAATAGTGGAAGACGGAGTGGGAAATTGGTGGGAGACGGAGGGAGGGCGAGGGCGAGGGCGAGGGCGCGGGCGCTGGTGAGCGGGTGAGGGTGCTCCATTGGTTCCGTGTCAGGGTTCTGGGCTTAGCGGCTGACCACCCCCCCAGGGTTCTGGGTTTAGCGCCTGACCACCCCCCTATACCCTTGGGGTGCTCAACGGTGCCCTCCCACAGGGACGATTACCATCTATCAGAAGGTCTCATGGGTTAAATAGCTGTTGAAAAATAGCGGAAGAGGGAGCGGATAATTGGTGGGAGAGGGAGGGTAAGGGCGCGGTTGCGGGTGAGGGTGCTCCATGGGTTCTGGGCTTAGCGTTTGACCACCCCCCTATATACCCCCCTTGGGGTGTTCCACGGTGTCCTCCCACAAGGACGATTACCATCTATCAGAAGGTCTCATGGGTTGAATACATGGAGGCATTCTCAAGTCTCTCCAGGTCCACCTCCATGACCCGGCCCGCCCCTTTGGTCAAACTTATACTGGCAGATCATCCTTCTCAATTGACACTGTTCCGGGTCGTCACGATGTTGTGCGCTCAGTCTTGTTGCGTTATATGCTTGCACAAACAGCTAATTTGGATTGGCAGTCTATGTCTTGGATGCTCTCCCGAGCCATGTCTGCTTGGCACTCGCACGTGCGGCGGTGGCTTCAGAACAATAATGTGTCAAATGTTGACCTCACAGCAGACAGTAGTTGGCACTGCAGCAAGTGCGAGTGCCAAGCGGACATGGCTCTCCCAAGCCATCTCCGGCTCTCTCGAGCCATGTCCGCGTAGCCATATCTGCTTAGCCATGTCCGCTTAGCCATGTCCGCTTGGCACACTCTGAGTCTCCGAGCGATATCCACTTGGCGCTCGCGTCTCCGAGCCATGTCCGCTTGGCGCTCTCATCTCCGAGCCATGTCTGCTTGGCGCTTGCGTCTCTGAGCCATGTCCGCTTGGCACTCGCATCTCCGAGCGATATCCGCTTGSTGCTYGCGTCTCCGAGCCATGTCCGCTAGATSCGAGCCATCTCCGCTTGGCACTCTAGTCTCCGAGCCATGTCCGCTTGGCGCTCGTGTCTCTGAGCCATGTCCGCTTGGCACTCGCATCTCCGAGCGATATCCGCTTGGTGCTTGCGTCTCCGAGCCATGTCCGCTAGACGCGAGCCATGTCCGCTTGGGGCTAGCGTCTCCGAGCCATGTCCGCTTGGCACTTGCGCTTGCTGCAGCGGCTTCGGACAATGTGTCCAATGTTGACCTCCCAGTAGACACTAGTCAACCGGAGTGCATGATACGTGGTCTCCAATATCCACGTTCATTTCGTATTCCAACGCTGCACGAGACAGGGCCCGTTCTAAAATTTTATTAAGGCCTTACACGTGCACCAAGTTGCTCACGCCACACAATTACTCGGCATCCTACCTCTCCCAGAGGTCATTGAATTACACCCACCACCTCCTCTTGCCATGAATATACGCCTTGGTGACAAGATGGTTGGTTGGTTCCATCCGCTCGAGTCCAGTTCTGCTTCACAGACGTGGCGCTCAACGTAACTAGCAAGATGATAAGCGCTTTCATGTTGTACTGAGATTGTTGATGGGCATGCTGCCCATGTGGACTATACCATTACACAGAACACAAATTTGCACGTTCTCTTCGTTGGGGGTCCAAGTATGACCTGAATGCGGAAACCATGGACGTGATGAAAGCACTAAGCCCTGGCCTGGACGAGTATGTTGCGGCGTCTATTGCAGCTATGCGACCAACATCCAACAGAATGAGTCAGTAATTGCTGATGGTGTTTTCCCATTTGCCGAAGGTTGGCTGCAATTCTTTTGAGCTGCAAATGGACTGAGTCTCTGTAGTTCTATGTATGAGGCACCTAATCAGGTTTCTTCACGGGCTGCCCACACATTCCTTCGGCGACTATAACAACATTTTTCGCAGTACCGGCTGCTAAAACGTCACACAGCCTGAGAATCTGCTGCAAAAGCTGGTACAGATACCAACTTGTACAACGTCTACACAGCCCGACCCACAGCCGTACGCGGAAGCTTGTAGCCAGCATCCTTGATGGCCGCGCCCGCATTGGGGCTATCGACAACCCCCCACACATATAACAACGTTTGCTCATAGCACCGGGTGATAAAACATCGCACAACCTGAGAACCTGGTGCAAAATCTGGTACCGATACGGACTTTTACAACATCTTTAAAGTCTGACCATCAGCTGTACAGCCAAGGTTGCAGCATCCTTGATGGCCCTGCACTTTGGAATGACCATTGGGGCTATTGACATGTCGACACCCTGCCCTCTCTCTATTCGGCTCTGAAAACAGTTAAATCTCCAGCTGCTCTTCATCCTATCCTTGGGGTCACCCAGTGCAACAAGCAACAATCTTTCCCAACCTGCACCCCGCGCCCTTCGATCTCAGACCTGCATAGCAGGCCTCGACGCCTCGTCATAAACCCTTGCCAGCATAACAATGGCCTCCGGTTCGCTCAGCCATACCCTCCAAGGTGTGATCAGCTCTCTGCTTAGGATGGATAGTGAGGCTTTTTCAAGAGATTGGAATGCGATGCTGCTGGATTACACAAAAGTGTTATCTAGGTGCTCAAGCAGAATGCACACTCCCTCCGTTGATTCATACCGCACACAATCGATTTTACCACAATGTATAGCATTGTATAGCAACCTGCCACATAGACATCTTGGCGCTCAAGCGGAATGTACGTTCCCTTCGCTGCTCTATACCACACAATAGATTTTACGACAATGAATAACATTGTATAGCAACCTGCCATATAGACAAGATCCTTACTGATGTGCTAAATGATGTTCGTGAGGCACATGATTATGCCTTGGTGCTGATTCCACAGAACAGGAGGTTAGCGCAAATGTACATGACAGTTGGAGGTCTTTGGGAATCTGCAGCTTGTCCTGCCTCGCCTTGTCCTATGGAACGGACAGCAAAGGGTCCATTGCCAGCGTGGGGTCTTTGGAGGTCACTGCCAATGCGGGTGTAGTGAAGGTGCTTGCAACTTTTCCTTTTCCTTTGTCTGCTGTCGTTTTGCCAAGGACAAGACAAGAGGAGGAGGAGGAGGAGGAGGAGGAGAGATGAAGAAGGCAAGAGGACGAGGAGGAGGAGAGAAGGATGAGACAAAAGGAGGAGGAGGAGGAGCGAAGAAAAAAAGACGAGGAAAGAAGAAGAAGACGAGAGGAGTAGGAGAGAAGAAGACGAAAGGAGGAGGAGTAGGAGGAGGAGGAGGAGGAGAGAAGGAGACGAAAGGAGGAGGAGGAGGAGGAGGAGGAGGACAGGAAGACGAGAAGAGGAGGAGGAGGAGGAGGAGGTATTGTATGGTGATGACAGGAAAAAAAAAAAAAGAGGACGATGGAGGAGGAGGAGGAGAAGGATAACACGAAAGTGGAGGAGGAGAGAAGAAGAAGAAGAAAGGAGGAGGAGGAGAGAAGGAGACGAAAGGAGGAGGAGGAGTAGGAGGACAGGAAGACGAGAGGAGGAGGAGGAGGAGGTATTGTATGGGGATGGCGAGAAAAGAAAAGAAAAAAAAGGACGATGGAGGAGGAGGAGGAGGAGAGAAGGAGAACACGAAAGTGGAGGAGGAGAGAAGAAGAAGAAGACGAGAGGAGGAGGAGGAAGGAGGAGGAGAGAAGAAAAAGAAGACGAGGAGGAGGAGGAGGAGAGAAGAAAAAGAAGACGAGAAGAAGAGGAGGAGAGGAGGAGGAGGACGAGGAGGACATGCCGATTTTGTATGGCGACGACGAAAAAGAACGAGGACGAGGAAGGAGGAGGAGAAAGGAGGAGAGGAGAAGAAAAAGAAGACGAGGAGGAGGAGGAGGAGGAGGAGGAGGAGGATACAAGGAAAAGAAGACGAGAGGAGGAGGAGGAGAGAAGAAAAAGAAGACGAGAGGAGGAGGAGGAGGAGGAGGAGGAGAGAAAAAGAAGACGAGAGAGGAGGAGGAGGAGGAGGACCTGTTGGTTTTGTATGGCGATGACGAAAAAAAAAA